GTGAGGTCAATGTTCGCGTTTACGGTTATCCAAATTGTCATCGATTTTGTAAAATTTGAAAATTTGCTTTCTATCATCATATATTATGACGATATGAATCATACAACTATTATCCGCGTTCTGCAGACCGTATTGACCTCCATTTGTTTTTTTTGTCTAGATTCCGAGCTGAACGTTACTATTTATGTACTATTATTTTTAATTTTTTTTATTTATTAGATTTCAAATGACGTGGCACGGAAAATTCGATGATAAACGATAATCAAAAGAAGATAAAAATTGATTTTTCAAAAAAAAAAAAAAAAAGTATAATAAATAGTTTTTGAGATTGAAATATTGAAAAATGCGGGCCGTTAGGCCGAACTCGGAAGTCTCTTTCCGACGCGAAATGAATAATCGAATCATCGGAATCGGACCGGTTTATGCACGGTGAGGGATCACGAGTGTTTTTCCCGTAGGGCGTATTATCATGTTTTCCGCCGAAAAAAAAAAAAAAAAAAAAGGCCGGAAGCCCCTTAAAACGAAAATATACCTCGGTACTCGGAACGAAATCGCTTTTCGGAAAATAAAATATCATAAAATTATACGATTCGCCGACCTATTATAGTAACGCGCAATGTAAATATACCATTTGTTTTATTTCGTTTTTTAAATTTTTTATTATGATAATTTTTTGTTTTTTTTTTTTTTTTTTTTTTATGTGTATCGATACAAATACATATTATAGTACGATTATTATTATGTTAGGTACACACTGTAATAGGTTAGGTACACGTCTTGCCATTGTTTTTATACCCATTCGGAATTCGACGGTCTACAACAACAATATTAATGCTCGGGTCACGATAAAACGAAGTCAATATTATTATTGTAATGTAGCGTACACGCGGGTAATAGTTACCAAAAAAAAAAAACATTAAAAGAAAATATATTAAAAGAAAAAAAAACCTTTAATAGTAATAATATTGGGGTATGCGTAAATCCCGAAATGTAAACAGCTAGACCTGAAAATCTGGACTCGATAGAAATCTGGAATTCCGAATCACGAAACCCGTAAAAAATCTAAACGGTAGAAAATTTTACCGTGGTAATTTGGACGGCGAAATCAGGAATTATTAACGAAACCCCGAGATCCGCCTCGGTACAATCTGTTTCGCCCGTGAGTTTGGCGCCGTTCCCGGAATTAGGGGCGAACGGTAGACAACCGAACGTACATATTTTATTGACTGATAACATCATTATTGTCTCGTTTCCGTCCGGTCCAGGTCTATTAATCCCTCGTTTTTATCATTCGGATTTTCTATTACTGTCCAGTTTCGTCCGATACGGGTTTTCGCGGACTATCATAATTCGGGATTCCGGATTTTTACCGTCCAAAACTCTGTACAGTCCGGGTCTCTACTTTCAAGACTATAACGTTTCGGGATTTTCGCGCGCTCCGTGTGTTGTCATAGTGTTACGTTCGTCAAGTCGTCTGTACAAAACGATAATATGTACATAAATTATTGAAATCTCGTGTTACAACTTAATATATTACTTGTTTTAAATATTATAAAAAAAAAAAAAAATGTAATACTATTTTATAATAATTAAGATATTTGTTATTTCGTTTTTTTTTTTTTTTTTGTTTTTTTTTATGATAATTTTATAGTCGACCCGTTAATCGCGAATATTGTATTTAACGAATTTCCAGCAAAAACTTTCTATTTTGTTTTTTTTTTTTTTTTTATTGTTGTTAATAGTTTGTTATATTTTTCCGTGTTGTACAGTGTATGTACGCGATTTGTTTTGTTTTTATTTGTCGTTATTATTTAGCGAAAACCGAGAGAAAATCTTTTTATCATATAAAGTTTAATATTCCAATCACAGTCATAATGTTATTGTTCGATATTGTGAGCCGTTTAGCGGCGTTTACGAATATTAATATTTTCATCTTGTACCGTTAACATGTTTTACCTATATCGTATTAATTTTATATATTGTAATATTCCGAAAATAATAATTATATTTGTGTTTCGATGTCTATATGGTTATTGCTAATATATCACTGTGATATTGTCCGTACTATCGTAACCCCCTCCCCCCCTCGAACGTTTCGAGACGTTCTCGGCAATGTGTCCTTTTTTTCTTTTTTTAGACACATAATGTAAAAAGGACTAAACTTGACAAACCTGATTAAAAAAAAAAAAAAAAAAAAAAAAAATGGATAAATACAGAATAATTATTTAATAAAATAAAAAAATGAAAACAGAATTATTTAAATAATTATTTACAATGGTAGTAGTATTGTACTTGGTTGAATAAGTAGTGCATATATGTAACGGTTATTATTTTAATTAGCGTTTAATTGAGGAGGAGACTGAAACCTCCTTAACCCCTCCACCCGGGTACGACACTATGTCAATGTATTATCTTTTTGGGTATACATTTTAAAAATCGATATAAAATACACACAATTGTATATTGCGTACATAATAATAATAATAATATATTTGTGGATATTAAATTCTTTTTATGCGTAAAACACAATTAAATTATTTCCATTAAAATAATTCGTGAACGAATCTCGACGAACCGAATAGCTAATATTGACGAGCAAAAGCAAATGGTTTTTTTTTCTAAACAATTATCGCCCCCCCCCCAATCCAACAATAATTTGACGTTTGTCAACATGTTCCTCCAAATCGTTCAAATTTCACAAAAAAAGCCCGTCCTATGATATTCAAAAACAACCGCTTATGAAAACCGCGGTTCGCTACGCTATTACGCGCCACTGACGAGCAGTTTACAGTAACTTAAAAAACAATAACAGACCAAATTATAGTGTGTTGTACTCCAAATAATCGCAATGAATTTAAAATTGTGTGCGCTCGTGATAGATAATAGACATTCGTCAATGTACACAAAATAATAAAAACAAACACATGTTACGTCAGTGTCTTTAAATTATTCCCGAATACGGTGCAATTAATGAGCAGAGAAAAATACAGATATCCTATACAAACAATGCATATATGTGTGAAAAATAATATTAAAATAGTTATGATAAATTTGTAAATATAAAATTGTAAATGAAATGTGTAGTTGCCTATTGTAAGAGTCATGTAAAGAGGTATGTAGGGGGCAAATCCCCTATGCGCCTTTGATGTGTTCATAGTTTTAACACAACCAAAGTTGGTGGTCTAGTTCTGTCTACAAGTCCAATACCGTCGTAAATGTCAAATTCAAACGGTATTTACAAGCGAAACAAAATTATGACTTTACCTGTCCGTTTGTTTTGTGTAAAATATTTTTGTAACTAGAGCTGTGAATGTAATCCCGTAAAAATAAAACCCCTCTCCCCTCCAAAAAAAATCAATGAAATGCAGTAAAATGCAATAAATTATACGTTTTATTCACGTTTAAAGTGTGCAACCAAAACAAATTGTAAAGGTTTTTACGGGCTTCATATAAATTGCACTGTAATATTTTAATTAAATGAAATTTTAAAGTAATATACTAGTCTCTGTAAAATAAAATAAAAATACAATAATTTATTAAAAATACCTTAGAACGCTTACAAAAAAAAGAAAAAAAAAAGAGAGACGCCCCTCAGCCCTAATGAAAAATTATTTTAAAAAAACAAAATAAAAGTTTCAAACTCGAGTTCGTAGTTAATAAATAATAATTCGAACTGTGCACATTTAGAAAGCTCAGGTGTCTTACGAAAAACTAAATTCAAAAAAAAAAAACCGTTGGCTACAAATTCACAGTCCTTTCCATAACAGTTTCACAACTTGTACTGTTTCGATCACTTAAGGTCATTTTTTCTTCGTTGGATCGCTGGTTGAAATTGTCGAGACGAATAAATAACTCATACAATTTATAATACGAAAAAAAAAAAAAAGACAGTAAACGGTGATATATTATTTGTGTTGTTGTTCTTTTCATTGTTTCGATTATTTAAAAGAAATTCTCTGGTTTTTGTTCGGCCGCGTTGTTTCGCGACGGTTACCTATCTATTAATATAATAATTTAACATTATGTGTATACATAAATAAATTTATTTAATTATTAGCTATATTGTAACATTAACGTTCAGGATTATATTTTTTAGTCTATTTGTTATCATCATAATATTGTATTAATGTATTAATAATATACTGTACAGTTAAGAGTTCTTTTGTATAAACAATTATTTTTTATTAATGCGTTTTAACGAATAAGATCATTGTGAATAATATTATTATTGTAAGAAACGTATGAATATCGCGTTTCGTTAATATACTGAATTATTACCTATACACATTATACTTATTGGCGTCGCCGGCAATTTATAATAGCATTCCAGATTCCTGCGGAAAATCCGTTTACTATAAAATTCACTGTTGTATAATAATACACCTAGTCAAATTTTCAAATTTCACAATAACGATCAGAGATAACCGTTAGTAGGTGTATGATTAGGTACCTAGAAAAAAGACTAATCTTGATTCAAAAACGATTGGCCGCGCTAGCCAATTTGTTAAAATTCTAATCGGGGAAAAGAGAATGGGCAGAAACGGACTCGTTTCGATATAATACTTATGTATTCTTATCGTTTAATGGTAAAATGAAAAAAAAAAAAGTAGCCATACTTCTCACTCATATGGGTATGCCACTGTTGCAGGCGGGAATAGCCAAACAATGGTTTGTTGTAATGCTCTTAAAGTTTTGGACATTATGATAAGGCCGCCGTAGGATTTTAAGCTTACTTAAAGTTGTACACTGTTCTGTAATCTGGCCAATACTTGAACACAGGACCCTCGTAACGCTGAAAATGCTTGCCAGGTTGAAGGGGTACAGCATAGTTTCTTGTGATACGCCAGCTACTTTTTGGGTATCAATTGTGTAATTCATGGCTATACTCCCGTCATCAACCAACATAGCATCATTAGTGGAGCGCAGGCAAATTATGGGTACATACTTCTTTAAAAGGACTGTTTAAATGTGACCAAATTTACGTAGTCGACTGATTCCTACCTAGATGGTCGAGAAACCATTATAAAAAATATAATACCTAGTTCAAAAAAAATTCCACCTTTCGACCAGTAGATTTATTTTTAATATTCGATTGATAGCGTGTTAAAATTGTCGGGTTTAGGACAATGGGCCCGGCCGGTTGGGCGCCAAAAATAAAACAAAACAAAACAAATAAAACAATACGAATTTATTTTCTAATTTAATTAATTATAAATAATACACTAATTTCGGAATTTTGAATATCTGATAACCTATACATCCATCAACTGACCTATTGTTTGGAACATGCGTAATATAGTTTTAAAGAAATACTGTCGTTTTTGAAAGGGATAGCTCAACATAATTCAATAAAATATATTTTAATTTAGTTTAAGCAGATGTTTTTTTTTTCACGTATACTAAATTTAATTTAATTCTTATGAGTTTTTCTATTTAAATTTATCATTATATTTTTTTTTCTGGCAGCCAATTGACTGCGTCCATTCGTCCTAGACCAGTAAATAGTCCAGTGTTAAAAGTGAACGTAGCAGTAACATTTTCTGTCTTTGAAGTATAGCAAAAATGTGTTTTTCTACGTTCAATAGTACCTACTCAAGGTCTAATAGACCTTGAGTAGGTACTATAGGTACTATATGACTAAACAAAATCATTTCACAAAATTAAAAATTAAAACATTTAGGTACTAAGTTTTCAAAGAACGATTTTTTCGGTACCATATTCATTGTAAAATTGTCCATTAATATACACAAATATATTATACGGTATTATAATAGTATCTATTTTTTATGTTCTTTTCATATATTTAAACACTTAACAATTACAATGCGAACATATTCTTCTCAATAATATATAAAACAACATGTCCTGACTGGCTGATTCATCATCGCACCAGCCCAAACTACTGGACGGAACAGATATCCAGATAGCTAATAAGACGTAAGCATCCGCTAAGCAAGGATTTTTGAAAACTCAACTCCTAAAGGGGTGAAATATGAGTGTTTAGGTATTTTTTGTACGAATATCTAATTGTTCATTTATTTATTTTTATTTATTCATGGCTTACCTATGGTCATTGGATGACAATTTGGTTGTCATGGACAATAAAACTATTATTATTAAAATTAGCTGAATTACCCAGTAGTATTTTCCGGGTTCAATTTTATCTCTATCACAGTCAATAGTCATTGCTAGGTAATATTTATCTTTTGAAAACGGTACTTCTTTGTCCGTAAAAAATTAATTAAATATAATAACTGTTTTTTCCTTATCGCCAAGATAACCTATGAATAAACAAAAAAGTTTAATTTAAGTAGCTTTCGGGGAAACGTTGAGAATTATTTCATTAATAAAACCTTTACCAATTACAATGGCATCAAATAAAAGATTTTTCAACGCTTGAAAATTTAAAATTATATTTACACTCTTTCATGAGCGATGATTAAAGGCTTAATGAAGAAGTAAAAAAATATCGATTTAGAAAAAGCTGTAGATGTATTTGCTGGACTTAAACATTGCCTGTATCCTTTTATATAAATATAATTATTATTATTTTTTTTTTAACTGCATTAATATCGTCTTCAATATTTGTATGCACTACTTATTGGTTTTCATGGGTTCAAAGAATCAATGATTTATTATTTTTCAAATTTTAAATAGCTTTTTAATCTTTATGTTTATTGCGATTCACAATCTATTTTTTGTTACCAATTATTTCTATACAGTTCAATTCAATTATATAATACTACATGGCAAATGGGGACGTAATTAAATTTAATATTAATGATCGATAAGAAAAGAACAGACATATTTCGCACGATGGGTGGACCACTGTTGTAGATGAGAAGTTGTTAAAAGTTGGGAAGATAGTATATATTGAGAAATGTTATGTATATCTGTAAGCAAACATTAATTATTGCTAACGAAAAATGATTCTGAGCGGAGCTCGGTTAATAGTATTTCTTTTTCAACAATATCTATGTCATATTATAGAAAATAAATATTATAGTAAAACAATTTGTGTGGACCCAGTATCTAACTAGATTTGTTCCGTATGATATTTTACTAAAACAATTTTCGTCAAAATTTAAAAATGTATCATTAAAATTCTTATAAACATAAATATGCTACATTAAATTACATTTGTTTTTTATTTTGACCGCAAAGTATGACTTATAATTAATCTCCTATTCAATATGCAAGCATTTTTGTTTTGTCTAACAATTTCATATAAAAAATCCAATATCTAATAATCTTTTATTTTTCAATATTTTCCTTTTTCAAATATAAATTACTCATAAAATTGAAGTCTATAATTAGTTTAAATATTGATGTTATAATTCTGTTCAAATTTTAAGTCTAAGAATATTTTTAACTGAATTACAGCAAATAACGCAATTGCAAATAATAGAAAGCATTTTTTCGTAAATTTCCCGTTTTTCTTACGGTTTCTCCCGAGTTTGATCAGGTATTATGAAAAACACCTGGAAAATCAAAAATAAACTCCTAATATACTATCTAGACAATATTATTTCCTTTCAGAAATGGTGCCACATGTACATATTGGAACAAGATATCAGAAATGTTAGTCACAGTATAAAAAAAAAAAATAAAAAAAACATAAAAAAAAATACATCTTTGTAAAACCAATACATTTTTCGCTACACTCAGGGTCTGAAAAATTATGTCAAATAATATATTGATTATGTCTAGTGTATCTACTTTTGGACCAATGACTAAGTCAAATGCCAATGTAAGTCCACTTTTCTCGGGGGTTGGGCGATTGCGCCCATCTCCCCCCCTTAGGGACACGCCTGGTGGAACATAGTTTCATTTTGTCTTCCCCCCCCCCTGGAAGTTACTTTATGGACGCCCTTGTAAACTGTCCTACTCGTAATTTTTTGAAAATTGAAAACATTTACAATATCAAGAATGGTATCTTACCAAATTGTTCAATTAGTTATAATTTTTAGCATTATAAATGTTTGTATATTACCGGCCAAAGGCCAATTTTAATAGAGAATAAAATATTTATAGTTTTAAGCGAATCCAGTACCACAATTTTGATCGGCATTATGACTGCATAAAACACAATAAAAAACCGAACCACTAAACACTAACAGAAATTTATTTTTCAATATTTCATTTAAATTTATTAGCCGGTGGAAAATTTCGTACTCATAACACTAAATAGGTATACTCGTAAATCTATCGTACAATATGGAAATACCGTCTAGAGTAAACTAGGAATAGTGGCACATAACAAGCTACTCACAGTACAAAAAAGCATTATAAAATTAGTTTTAAATAAACCAAAAAGTTACTCTTCAGAGAAGCTCTTTATAGAAATGAATGTTTTTAAAATTAAACAATTATTTCACCGAAATGCTTTATATTATACATACAAAGTTAAGTCTAATAGACTTTCAACAAATCTCCCATAATACGCGCCACAAACATTAAATTAATGATCCCTGCAATCAAAACACTTAAATCATATAGATATTTTGCTAAAGTTGGTTTAAAACTTCTAAGTAACGCTACACCCAACATTCTATACTGCAAATCCAATGTATATACAAAATACAAACTTCTGATTAAAAAATGGCTATTAAACTCACAAGGCAAAACTTGATTTCCTTTTCTCCTTTATCTTATATATCCCTTGCATACACTATAATATATTATAATACATATAGCCAATGGTGTTCACAGAATTTTTTCGGGAGGAGGATAGGGGGTTGGAAAAAATGTAACAAATAAAATTGTTTTGAATTTTGTGTGTATGATAATCATACATCCATACAGTAAAAATTTTATTACGATTTTACAGCGCTAATTATATAGAAGTTGAAATATTTATCTTTTTTAAAAATTGTAAATCCATATTCATTTTTCGTTTTAATGTCTTAGCAAGTTCATCTATGACATTGACATCGCGATTAATATATATTTTAGTAAGGCTAAACCATTTAAACGTATTTGTCCCGAGGAATTTCTCAAATATGGTTTCAAACGACGGAATGTTGAAAACACTCATTCTTCACTCATCATTCTCCCATGCCAGTAAACACTGGAAGTGTTATCAATATTGGAAGAAGTTCAGATATTACTGGATAAACATCTGGACTAATTTGGAAGTATACTTCAATAGTATATTTTTGTCCTTGAGTTTGGAAGATGTTAAATTTGAATATTTAGTGTACCACAAATTTAAATTTTCCGTTTAATACATGATTATTTAAATTTGAATCGTTACATTCATCAATTATAATTTGATGTGTTTCTACTAATTGTTTGAATTCAATTTTAATATCTTTAGATATTACCCTTGGATACGCCACTGCATATATTATAGTATTACCTACCTTTATTTTTGTTTTTCGTTTGAATTATAGTTTTTATCCAACACAAAACACTAATAATTATCCGTAATGCAACGTACTCTATTCCATATATTCCATCCTTTTTGTATAATATTCTGCTATGTTTTTCTTTTAAATTTTACAATTGTTAAATGCTAATCTATTATTAATAAATAATTAATTGATAAGACTCCGATTTCACCTATACGAGGTTACACCTCGGTGGTGAATTGAGCCAAAAACTCTCAATGGTTAAATTTTTTTTTTTATTTTAATAATTATGTGTTATTGTTAGGCATTATTGCTACTTTAAACATGAACTAACTGTTTTTTTAGCCGAATAATTATATTACTATTATAATTAACGAAATAAAGTACTATTAACACATTGACGGACACTTGTAGTATAATTTTTTTACTGTTGTATTAGTAGTGCTATGCCTGCATCCAAAATGTATGTAATTTGTCAGTGTAGACTGCCGTAATGTGGCAGTCCATTGTCTTCTACGATTTGATGCCATTGAAAAGACTACTGCTTCCGCAGTATTAACGTAATATGTCATTTCACATATTACTGCTATAGCAGTAATGTCCATAAATGTGTTAACTTAAAAAAAAAAAAAATCTGTTACTGCTAATAAGTACTAATTTATTATATTATTATTATTGTTTTCGAAAGCGCAGCCAATAAAATATTTTAATCCGTAAATATTACAGCCAACCAAAATAATGTGCGATAACCGCTGGTTACCACCATAGATGATGATTATAATAAAATAATAACATTCTGGCGGTTGGTTGTCACGTTAAAATTCTGATTTCGAGACATTAATTTTTCTATGTCCGTGATTCGATTAAAAATATGAAATACCTATGGCAGAAATGTCCCAAAGAAACGATAAGAAACGTGTAGTACAAATCGATAACCCATATCACCCATAGATTATCGACTGAATATCTAAGAAATATTTTTCTGCTCGGGTAATTTCGGATAATATTATTGTATTTTATTAT